ATAATAATAATATTGCACATGCAATATTATTATTATGCAACAGTGGAAGCTGTAGGGCGGTCTGGAGTGATTACGGATGATGTGGGATTTCGGGGTCAAATCTAAGTGTTGAACTAAGAGTTTTACAGGAATGGTGAACAGTTTAAAAAGGGACCTGTACTGTACCTGCTGTCCGTACTGCAGCCCACCCATGGCCCCCGGTGTGCGGCTCTGCATCCCCATCGGGTACCTCTGAGGGCCCGGGGGCCCATAGCTCTGCCCTGGGTAGGAGCCTCCTTGTTGGGGGCCCGGTCCAGTGGGAGGCCCTTGCTGATGCTGGGAGTAGGGGCTGGGTCCTCCGTATGGCTGGCCCCGCATCTTCCCTACCTGCTCCATCGGGCTGGGAGGCTGGAGGAAACAGGAGGAAACCATGATTAGAAAACAAACTGCAGCGACGGGGAGGATGGTTTACTGTATGACATCACAAACAAACTAATGATCCAATCCTCCGGATAAAGAGGCTTTTTTTCTCCATTTGGTGGAAAAAAATCATTGATAAAAACATTGAATGGTAGCAGCTAGTAAGTGTGTTGAGAGGATCATCTCATAAACCTGTCACAGTTTAATCAAACAAAAATAGAACAAGATGCTGAAGGGGAGGAAAGAAAAAAAGGAAAACAAGTGGATTAACTTTCCCGCTAGAAAAAGGGGAAAAAAACTGGCTGAGAGTGAATGAAGGAGCCACAACATCCGCCAGGAGCGTTTTCCTGCCCAGGAGATCATAGTGCCAGTGGGCGGATACTGTTACAGCGCCGTCAGGGAGAGCGGCTGGGAAAATATTGAGAGGGAAGTGGAAGTTGTCTGCGGCGTCTGGAGTCGGGCCCACCAACCCTCAGCCGGAGCCACGCGTGGTTTCAGCAGCCAGCGACGCCGAGCTGCATGATGCAACCGGCTCATCTGGAAACAGCTGGATCAGAATCCGTGTTTACATGTGAGGAGCTTTGAGGAATTCCTCAAAAAAAAAAAAAAAAAGTGTTTCTCCTCCAGGAGAAATTAGAGAGAAGACAAACAGCAGCTTCAGTCAAGCGTCACCTGGAAACTAAAAATAAAACCTCTCAGCGTGGGGATGTGACAGCTCGTCACATCCCTGCACGTTCCCATCAAACCCACCGCAGAAACCTGCAGCCGCAAAGCGGGCTTTGAAGCAGCGACACCTCCCGGCCTCGCTGACCTCGGCTAGCAGACACAAAGCTTTCATTGCTTCCCACGGATATTAATCTGAGTGGGGGTTTTTTGTCCCCCCCCTCCAAAAAAAAACATCTCTGCCTCGGTTGAGGGAGACAACCCACGTTACTATTTATAGCCGGGCAGACGGAGAGAGGGCAGCCTGCCGAAAATGTAACAGGTCCCAGCTGCGGTGCTGTTTGAACCCGGGCCAGGCCCTGCTCTTCCTGGGCTTTAATAAAGCAGCAGGCTTTGGCATCCTATGAATGGGGGGGGGTTTACGTGTGGCGGGAAACACCGGAGGTGTTTGGAGGTGTTGGGATTAATCTACAACCTGTGAGTGCAGTCAACCAGCTGGCTAATTCCACTCCAGGTTTTCAAACCTGCCCCCCCCCTCCAGGCCACACTCTGTTGAGCTCCTCAGGTTCAGGAAAATGTGTGTGTGTCCAGAGGAGGTGTGGAGATGTTACTATGTTCCCTGGGGGGGGGGTGGTTAGGGAAACTCCTGTGACCTTCAATGCACTTTTAACCCCAGTCTGAAAGGAAGGACAGCCACAGAACAGACAGGTGCAAGACGCACCAACACCAACCAAGCAGAAACAATCGGTCCTTAGAAGTTGGACGTCGGTTAGATTCGACCTCCGAACCTGAAAAACGGCGCAATGCAAACAAGCCGCAATAAAAAAAAAAAGCTCTATTCCTCATTTAGAAAAAAAAACCTCCCAGAGATCCCAGGACCCTAAGGTTAGCCATCTTGGGTCGATACTCTGCCGGCAGTGAGAATATTTTTACAGCAGCTTTATGAACCTGCCTGAGCGTTAAGGAGCCTGACGGCTTACGGCTCAGCGGGGGAAAGTGACCAAGTGCAGCAGATCCACCATCAGGGTGGAGAAGAAAACTCCAAGACCTCACAGAACCACTTCCCAAAAACAATATCTGTATTTGTTCAGTCTGAGGGAAACTTCTAGACTTTTTTTATGGCATCTGGACATTAAACTAGGGCTGCAACAGAAGATTATTTTTTTAATTAATCTGTTGATTAGTTTTTCGATTAATCTGATCGCTAAATGTTCCTTAAAGAAACATTTTTACTATATCAAACCAGGTGAAATTAAAAATTTTCAACTTCAGGAGGTGATAAATGCAGATATTTTTTTTTTAAACCTTAAATACAAAATGTTTTTATATTTTTAACAATTAGTGCTCTAAGTGGGTCACTCTTTCAGCTAAAGGCCTGTTTTAGAGCAGAGGTCACACATTAGTGGATCCGGACCACCTGCTGGCTAATCGGTCCCAACCTGAATTAAACATTTATAAATTACCACATGTTGTCCAACGGCAGTGTCTAACTTTACTTGCGCCGCTTCTCCTCTAAATATGGTAAAGCCCTCCAGAGCGTCCGGCAC